TTTGCCCTGGTTTCTGGCGAATGCTGAGGATACTCTTCCGCATATGCTTCCGTAACGAGGGAACTGGTGACTTCGGCTCATAGCCGTGTATAGCGAAGAATGGGGACATCCCTATAGAGGTATTGACCCGACCGTTTAACGCCATCTGAGCCGCGGGAACCCACTTATCCCAGTCGTTCTGGTTCTGGTTAATCACGGCGCGGAGGTATGCCTGTACTTCTTGGTTCATCCTCTCAGGGCCTCCGTCGGTTTGGGGGTGGTACGCCGTGCTTAGCTGCTGGTCGATCCCCAGTAACTTGCACATGTGCCTCCAAAAGCGGCCTACCCAATTCGAGCCCTATCGCTCGTTATAGCGTCGGGCCACCAGTGGTAGCGGGCGAAGCACCATAGAAAACGCTCTGCACATGCTTCCGCTTCCATCGTTGGCATCGGTTCGAGTATAACTTCCTTACTTAGCCGGTCCTTGATAACCCAGAGGCAGCGGTTACCGTTCGCAAGGGGAGGTCCGTAATAAAGTCCATCTGTATCTGGCGGAAGAAGCGGTCCGGTACGGGTAGCGGTCTAAGTAGACCCTTTATGCTCGCGCCATATCTTCGTACGGCCGCAGACATCGCAGTTACGCAAGAAACGTCGGATATGCTGTTGCATTAGCGGCCAGTAGAAGTCCCTGGATACGGCTTCTATCGTCCCTTCCCGTCCCGGGTGGCCTACTACATGGGAGTCATGAACCTTCTGGATTAAGGAGCCCCGTAATTCGTTTAGCGACTCCTGCTCTAGCGGTGCTGCCTTGGCTGCTGCTTCTGTCGTGATCGGTGCGCCTGGCACCCATAAGCGGCCACGTAGTCGTAGGTGCCCCCGAGGATCAATAAAGCACTCGGCGACTTGTACCTTCAGCTTAAGCTTGGGGTCGAGGGACCGAGATCCGTTTCGTACCGCGTTATAAACGCTTGTAAAGACTGGATCCTGGTTTGCCGTTTGCTGCCATAATTGTTGTAGCTCTGGGTCGTGGAAAACCGTGTGTTCTTCTTCGCCTTCTCCCGCTTGAGTCGACGTTACTCCGACGTAGGTACGTAGGGCTGCTTCTGGAATAAGCTGCATATCTCGTGCTTCGTGATCCGCTTCGTTTGGTCGGTCCTGTTCGCGGCGAGAGAGCGCGTCTGGCACCACTGCTTCCGTCCCGGACGGTACTGGAGCTGGAAGTTAAAACGCGAGAGATATTCAGCCCAACGTGCCTGCCTTTCCGAGAGCTGTTGGCGCGTCATGAAATACTCGAGGTTCTTATGGTCGGTAAGGATAACGAAGTTATCACAGCTTCGTAGCTCGGCTGACCATTGTTCGAGACAACGAATAATAGCGAGCATTTCCTTATCATGGATTGGGTAGTTGCGCTCAGCCGGTGATAGCTTCTGCGAGTGGAACGCTACTGGCTTGCGTTGTCCGTCGACTTCCTGCGTAAGTGTGCCCCCAAGCGCCCAGCCGCTACAGTCTGCTTCTACGAAGGTTGGCCTCTCGAAATCCCATTGAGTAAGAATAGGGGCGTTCGTAAATAGCGTCTTTAGTGTCTGGAACGCCATATCGTGCTCGTCCGTCCACTTGAACTTAGCCCCTTTCCTGTTAGTGCTGTTAGGGTGCAGTTATTTCCGAGGCTTGCGGTATAAATATCCGGTAGTAGTTAACGAATCCTAGAAAACTGCGCACCCCTTCTGGGTAACGGGACTGCCCACTCGACTATTGCTCGTATCTTGTCGGGATCTGCCTGAATGCCAATTCCTGCGTGAATAATGAATCCTAGGTACTTAATCCGCTTGACTCCAAATTCGCATTTCTCCGGGTCTAGGTGTAGTCCATGCTCGGCGAGGCGTTCTAAAACTAACCGTACCTTCCGGAAATGGTCTTCTCTGCTCCCGCTCGAATAGATAAGTATATCGTCCATATAAGCAGAGGCGAACTCGTCGAGGTAGTCTCGTAGGATACCGTTAATATACCGCTGGAAGGTTGCTGGCGCGCCACTTAGCCCGAACGGGTAACCATCCATTCGAAGAGACCGTACCGGGTGCGGAACGCTGTCTTCCACTCGTCTCCTTCTGCAACCCGTACTTTATGGAACGCTTGTACCACGTCGACCTTAGTGAACCACTTCGCATCTTTTAGGTTGCGAAGTGTGTCCCCTGTTAGAGGAAGGGGGTAACGGTCCGACTTAGTGATTGCGTTCAACGCTCTGTAGTCACAACAGAATCGCAGCCCGCCACCTGGTTTCCTCACAAACAGGACTGGAGCTGCTGCTTCTGAACTGCTTGCACGGATAAATCCTTTATCCACTAGGTCTCGTAGAGTCTTCTTAAGAACCAGGAGTTCCTCTCGTGACATACCGTATAGTGCTCCATACGGTAGTGGTAACTGCTGGCCATTCGGGTCCTCCTTGATTCTGATTTCGTGGTCTATGCCTGGCTTATGAGGATTCAGCTTATCAGCTTCCTTCTTCATAAATAGAGGCAGTAAATCGTGGAACCGCTGGGGTATCGTTCGGCGTAGCTCTGCTTCTGACATGGGTTTCTTTGGTGATAACGCCCTTTCGATATCCTTCATGCTGATAGCGAAAATCGCCGTGGCAGCTGCCTCTCTTCCTTCCTGCTTGCGGATCCTTTCAAAGTAACCCACAAAGGTACTGGCTAGTACGTGCTTTGCTTCTTCGAACTCCTTGGCTTTCGCAGAATATTCTCCTTCCCGAGGTGATCTACCCAGTCTTGTGTAGGTTCATGCCATAGTCGTTTCTCGTGGGGCACTGAGTACGACTTTGTGTGGCATAACCAGGGTTTTCCTAGGATTAGGGAATTCCAATCAGGGCACCACGTAGGCACAGATCGTCTGTATGTGGCCGTTGACCTCCATTGATAGCCATACGAGGCCCTAATCGTTGCTCCTTCCATTGCCCCTGATGCTCCTGTAATAGCTCGCGGTGCTATTTCCACTATAGGAACTTCCAACTTCTCGACGACTTCTTCGTCAACCGCGGCGTAGCACTGGCATCCCTCGTCTACGAGTGAGGAGAAGAGATTGGTCCTATTGATAATGCTTCGAATTATTGTAGGACCAACTTCCATTTCCTGAGAACTTCTCTTCTTTTGCCACTGCTCCGTTCTTTGGCCTCGAGACCCGTCTTTGTTTCGAGGCTACGCATTTCCCGAGAGGATGGGGTCTCGCTAAGTCCTGACTCTTCCTCACTAGAGTCGTTACCATCATCTTCCAGCAAGGGCATGATCCTAGCGGTGCGGACTTTTACATCCCTCGACCGGCTAGGGTCCTGTCCTGGCGAGTAGGGCAAGCGGCAATGAAATGGGTGTTGTCGCCGCAGCGGAGACAACGACCCTCGTCACGGCGTTTATTCCGTTCGTCCTCGGATACCCACCTCGCCCGTTGCTTCCGTCCTGACCTAGGCTGGAAGCGAACCGTCTTGCTCGTTCCACTTGACCCTGGCCGTTCGCCCGTCCTCTCTGACCCTGCCCCTGAGTGCGTGTAACCGTCATTATTACGTCGCCGTCATGGTCGCGTGCGTCACGTGCGTTCTGCTCGGCGGGTAACGTTGCTGACGGTGCCGGGGTGTTGTCGTTACCGGCGACCTGGATGTTGCCGATGCCTGATGCCTGCCCTTGGTCACGTTGCCCGCGGAGCCCTGCTTCCTCTGCAACGCCTTAAACTTCGCGGTGTGCTCGAACGCCCAAGCAATCGGGTGTAGACGTTGGATGTACTCGTTGTAGTCCTTCGGCATGATAACCGGGACTAGTTGCTCACGGAGAGCAGGAGAGATCGAGTTCCGTAGCCATGCGAGCTTGGAAGCATTATCCCAGCTCGCGCCGCCCGCTTTGGTCAATGTTTCCTCGAATTCAGGAGGAACTTCCCAAACTCTTGGCTGTCTCGTTGAATGAGGTGCGCAGCCTGTCCTGCGCCCTCTCTGTCTGCTGCACGCTGCCGAACGTCTGGGCTAGGTGCGAGAAGAATTTCCGGGGGTCTGGGTTGCCCTTCGCGCTCTCTTGCCTCCAAAAACCCTCGACTCTCCTCATCATCTGATCCGGCAAGGTCTGCAGGATCTCGTACCACACGACGTTGTTATTGCCGTTTAGGCCTCCTCTTCGTCGGTATTGTACTTAAATACCAGACGGTCGAGGTAGAAGTGGAAGGACTCGGTTGACCGTTCCACTTCGGCCAAGTCATCGGCTTGCGCTTCTTGCCACGGTCCATTTCCTGGGCTGCTTCCGGCCTCGGTTCGACGGGTAAGATCGCCGGGGTACGGAGCACCCCGGGCTGGGTGTCAACGGTGGCGCTGCTAGGCTAGCCCGGTGAACATCTTCCGCAGTTCTTCGTCTCCCGCGATCCCAGATAAGATCTGCAAGAGCTCTTGCTCCTTCCCTCCATCGGCTCGTTGCGCCGCCGGTCGCGGTGCCCTGCATAACTACTATTGTCCTCCATCTTGTTCGTCCGTCTCGTCGTCCGATCGATCGTCCGTCTCGTCGTTTAGCCTATCGCCTGTCTTGCTGTCTGTCCTGCTGACTGTCCTGCTGTCTGTCCTGCTGTCTGTCCTGCTGTCTGTCCTTCTGTCTGTCCTGTCTTTTGTTAACTGGTAGCTCAATATGTTACGGGGTCAGCACTGTTGGCACAGGTGCTGGGCGTAATTGATGTAAATTGAGCTACAAAGAGTGTAAAGGGGAGACGTGTCTACATCGCTCCCTTTAGGAGTCGTGTCCGTGGCGCTCGCACGTGACTAGTCTGGCCATGCCAGATCTACACATCGGGGCGTAGCCCCTTACAACTGCCTACACTTTACAGGCAGAGAATTTAGATCAGCGATTCCAACTCCCTCGGCCTCGACTATTCCCACAGACAGAAACCGGTTGCCGGTATCGTCCACAAGGCACTTGACTACTCCGGTTCCTCATTTGAACTGTTGCTTTCCTCCTCGTCACCGCTTATTCCTTCAATGTCGGTTCCTTCCTCGTCTTCAAAGCCTAGTTCAACCAATGGTTGCTCTGCTGATTGCCCATCTCCAAGCTCTTCTTCTCGGGCTCGATTTGCCCGCTCAAGTAATGCTTGCTATGTACGTTTAGGTCAGTGTACTCACAAACAGATATTGCGCTTACATATTCAGCAACGCCCCCAGTTGGCGCTTTGCGGTACGCCAGTATAGGCTGCCGGCCACTTTCGATGTGTTGAATGATCTTATCCCGGAGACCAAGATAGAAACGCTTAAAGGGTCGCAATTTATCCCGGTCCTGGCGACTTCCAAGAACGACCTGGTCGTAGCCCATTTTAAGGAGCGTCTTGTGGCACCAATCCTTTGTCTCGGGCTCCAAGCACGTGCTAATGTCAATGTCCACCAACGGTCGCCCCATTTCGTGTAGAACTGAGCGATCAATGGGGATGCCCCAATTGCATGCCTTATCCGGGTCGGGTAATGGTAATTCATCCAGGGCTGGCCGTGGACCACATGGGGACGGTTCTTTTGAAGGCGTATTCGATGAAGATTCCATGCCTCGACAAAGTCGAAGAGCTCTTGACGTAATATATCTTCGAAGACGGCGTAGATGGCAATCTGATCCTCCAGCATGTCGCCGTCGAAGTCCCCGTCCCTTGCGAGCTCCCCAAAATAGTCTACCCACTGCCGAGAGGAGACATGGAGCATACGCTCCCACCAACTCTCAATCTTGACGTTCTTCGTGCTCGGGGCTGCCTTATACGAATCCTTCAATCTCCTGCCTTGCTGGAAGACTTGCTCATGCCATTCCACACGTCCGTCTGTGGTCAAAACAAAGTTCCAATGGGCTGCTGCAACCAACGGCGTTTCGCTCCCTCTGTCCGCTTGCAAGTACCATGGCCGGAAGCCATAGGCGTCACATGCCGCCAGGTACTGCTTTAGTACGCTCAAGGCAGTTGTGGCAGAGTGCCCAAGGTAGAACCAGATAATGTTGCGCGAGTAGGCGTCGATGGCCGCGTATATCTCGAATCCGTACACCCTGAGCTTCTCGTGGCCATCAATGCACCACTGGTAGTTCGGGCCTGGGACAAGAAACTGTCCTTTCTTTCTCCGAAACATCCTCTTTCTGAGCTCGACCTCATTCGGGAACATGATCTTGTACATCTCGAAGAGAGGATCTCTTGGTACCCAGAGCTGCTTTTGCTGACGGAGATAAGGTTGCAGAAGGTTTCTGCCGTATCCCGAAATGGCATTAGAGCGTCGCGTTATGTCGATGATGGCTTGTTCGGTTTTTTCCAACAATGCCAGGCGCTCCTCATCGCTATTGAGTCTGCGCACCCAACGGCGGTCGGGTGAAGCCTGATGCGTTTCAGGCCTCGCTTCGTGATCTGCCAGCCCCGTCTCTGTAGAACACTTAGGGTTTGCTTTTCGTTAAGGCCAACGCGAAAGATCAGATCACGGGTGGCCTCTATCAATTCCGGAGTTTCTCTGGTACGGGATTGCTGGCGCGGGAGACCCCACCTGGCGATTCGGCGGGAGATTGTACTCAGATCGACGGCGACGTGGTAACGCTTCCGAAGTTTATACTTAATTCTGCTTCGCGAAACACCGTTAAGGTAGAGGAAACTGACATAGTCACGATATTGATCGATCGGGTTAGGTGGCCTTGCCATTGCGTTTGGTGGAGGTTGAAAGTGGAGAAAATTTTCGTAGAAAGCGGCCAAGTACTGGTGGGGGGGGGTCTACACTTGGCCCGCACCGGCCTAGCGTCAGGGGCTGCTGCCACCGAACCAGGGATAGGATCAATACTGCTCGTTCGGGAAGGTATTACTCCTGAGAGTGCCGCCAGTGAATTAGGATAATTTTCCTTTCGTAGTACAACAATATTGACAGAGACTGTTCTTTATGCCTTGAGGAACGAAAGGCCTTCTAACGTGCCCCGCAGACCCCGCCCTCTCCCCCCAAAAGTTCTCCGCCCCTTGATTGGTCCCTTGTGATTGGTCCCTCCTTGCCTCCCTCCTCGTTGGTCGCTGCCCTTCCCCCGGCTTCTGTTGCCTTTTCGCGTGCCTTATCCCACCACTAGGCGCCTCCCACCCTGTCTGCCGCCTGCCGACTCTTCCCGCCTGCCGAACTCTTCATCGCGTCACCTAGCCCGGCCGCCTTGACTCTTCAGCATCACCGTCCAGCCAGCGCAACGCCTCCTCAACGGTCCTCTCGCTCAGTACCTCGAGCCTGGCCTGTGCGGCAGTCATCTCCTCGGGGACCCGGTTGCCCACCAAGTCTCTGTCCCGCACCTTGGACACGAGCATGATGCCGTCTAGAGTTCGGCAGCGCGATAGCTGCACGTACAGGCCGTACGGGTCGCACTGCGAGGGCACCACCGTTCCATCCATCTTCGTCGTCCGTGTCCCTCGCAGCTCGAGGGCCACGCGCTCCAGCGTTTTGCCCTGCACCTTGTAGTCCGTGCACGCGAACGCTGCTGCGCACGGCAAACCCTTTCGGCTGACGTCGTTGCGTTGCCACGGCCTTTTTCGCTGGCACTGTATCTTAACGGTCATGGGTGTCAACAAGATCGTGCCCGGCGGCATCCCGACGAAGTGGAGATATCTCGTCGTCTCCGATTCGAGAATGATCCCCGCCGGCGGCCCGAAGTGGATCGTCATATCGGCCGAGATCCGATGCCCCGGGTACGCCTTGTCGACAATGACCTCCACCGCCGAGTAGCTCGCGCCGTTCACTAGCTTCAGCCCCTGGTGGTGTTGTGGTTCACGACGATGGGCATCCCGGCCACGAACATGAAGACGGCCGGCACCGGGATCGCGCTATCGTCGCCCTGGTTGAGTATCATGATCGCCTCTTCCTCCGTCGGCAGCTCCTCCTTCCACTTGTGCTCGGAGATGAAAATGCGCATCGTCGACCGCTGCTGGACCCGGAACGCCAGGCTCGCCTCCATGTTCAGGTTCCACCGATTCCTATTGAGCGGCGTCACCACGGTGATGCCCGTCTCCCAAGGGATCCGCCTTCCCTCCCGGTAGCACCTTGAGTTGAGGAGGTTTAGATCCGTCCGATCCTGCACGCCTAGACGGATCCGCTTCAGCAGCCTCTGCAGCTCCGGGTCGCCGGCGGCGCGCATCTGCTCGTCCAGCATGACGACCGTCGTGAACCTCTTCCACAGTGCGTGCGCTTTGTCGTGCTGGTGACGCTGCTCGGCCTTGAACGAGTTGTCTACGTCCCACGAGATGGCCGCGCTAGGCAGGACGATCGACCTCTCTTGGACCGGCCGGAACTGCTGAAAATCTCCGCAGAAGAGGACGATGGGGATCCCCCCGAAATCTTGCCGCGATCCGCGAAGCCGGCGAAGCCGCTCGTTCACGGCGTGCAGCGTCCGCGCCCCGAGCATGCTCACCTCGTCGATGACGAGCACATCCTTCTCCTGCCAATCCATTCGAGACTGGCCGTGGATGAACCGCTCCGCCTGTTTCGGCAGCCGCACCCGTCAAGGTCTTTGACCATGTTCGCGCCCCGCCCCTTGGTCTTTAGTGAACCCGCAGGCGGGTGGATCGTGATGCCGTTGATCCGCGCCGCCGCAGTCCCCGACGTCGCCGTGATCAGCAGACGATTCGAAGGCTCTTTTACTGAACAGCTCGACGAGTGCCTCGATGATTCGCGACTTGCCGGTACCGCCCTCGCCACCGACGAACTGGCGCAGCTGGCAGGCATCGCCCCGTCGGTCTGCTGCATCAAATCGAGCTGGCGGCATATTATCAGAAAAGCGATGGACTGCCTCTTGTTCAGCGTCAGCCGTGTTGCCAACACCTTGCCCGCCGCGAGGAAGGAGGTTGATGGGCCAAACTGAACGTCCATTCCCGCCCCTGCGTCGATAGCGGTCTCGTCGGAGTCGGCCATCGTCATTTCGACCTCGTCCTCCCCGAAACCGGTCATCATACAGACGAATTCGCGATCCTCGAGTCATTGCCCGGCGCCGCAGACCAGCCAGAGCCATAGCCTTTGCACCTGTGGCCACGACTGCAGCCGTTGCAACAGCCGCTGTAACTGCACCTGTGGCCTCGTCAGCAGCGGCAGCAGCAGCTACCCCACCAGCTTCGCAACAGTCACAGCCTCGCGGGCAACAGCAACAGCGGCAGCCAGTCTTGCAGACAGTGCTTTCGCGGCAGAGGCTATTGGCAACTATCTTGGCATTGGGCCGGCTATAGCTTCGTGGTCGGTGTCAACACCACAAGCCGACATCGTGATCCGTCAAACGCCTACACAACCGACCTCATACCAGCAGCCGCAGACTTTCCGGCGCTCAGAGTCTGCCACCCAACATGCGGCGGCTACCCTCCGCCTTCGAATATCACGAGCCGCCGCGGCCGCCGCGTCAAGGAGGTTCTCAACGGGGGCATCGCGAGCGCCCTCGTCTCTTTACCCTTGGGTCCTCGACCCCTCTTTCTAGCACCCTTACATCAGTGGAAGGAGGATTCATGCCGCTCCCGGCTTCGCAGATAAGTAACGCTACAGTTAGAGGAAAGGGAACGCTCGCCACGGCGGAAAAGAGGCCACGCAATGCGGCAGCCGTATGAGCTTGTAATGCGGCTAGAAGATATGGAGGAAATGTGCGAATAGCTTCAAGTTCATAATGTTCAACGCAAGACTCTACAATCCGTGACTACCTTCTAATTGGTGTGTTGCACACACAAATGCATGTCTTGGCCGATTCGCGATGCTTCTACCTAATACGGTAAGGTGCACAGGGAGACTAAAAATCGGGCACAGGGAGCGGAAAGGGGGCCACGGTACGCCTGTCGGATTAGTCCCGCACCAGCCTTGCACCCTGCCTCTACGCCGCAGGGGGCCCAGCCAACGGCATGACAGGAGGGTTTGGCAAATGGCCATATGCATAGACCCCAAGCAACTCCTACCGTTACCCCACTGCTTTATGTGTGCCTGCCCTTCATCTTCCTTCCATCGTACTCATGAACCTCTGTTCAGTAGTAATAAACGTGATTTGCCGCCGGCCGGACGCGCTGAGAAAATAGTACATTTCTTGAAGCGAGGTGATTAATGACATTAGACGTTCTGGACACATCCTGCTGGACGGGCCCTAACTCAGGGGCAAAGTCGGAATTATTTCGGTGATGCTGGAATAGGAGTACTAGCTTCTGGAGAATTGGGCTTTGATGAGAGTGAGTGAGTGCACTGAGCTGGCCCAAGATGCCTCGTTTACCTAGATGTGGCTGATGCTAAGAGCCGACAGCAAGTGCACCACCCCCACATCAAGCAAAACCGCTGTGATAAAGGTCTGTTTAGCATGCTATGTTCCGCCTACGCGCCTAGCGGCCTTGTCTGGTTGAAACGAAGGTTGGGTCTGAGTTATTATAGCCATTCGGTGTGGATGCAGTAGTTCTCTGCGGGAGCCGTACGGATACGTCTTGCCTGATTGATCTTGTACTGAGCTTGAGCCTTGCACCCTGCATGCACGCCGCAGGTGACACGACCAAGGACATGACCATAAAGACATCAAATCATACGACAGCTTCTGGGTGAAGTTTCAGCTATTCCTCATATTCTAGGCGCAGCGGGGGTGTTGGCAGCTGCGGAGCTGAATTTTTGACATATAAGGCATCGAATGGCGCATGCATAGACAAACCGGTAGTCATCACCATTCACAAGACTTCTGCTACTCGAACAAGCGCTGTCAAGCTACCTGCAATAAAACAATGGCATCACATATTGTCACTCCAGGCTCGATTAGGTGCGGTCACCTCGACGATGTTGATCAAAAGAAGTGCAGCCATGACCAGCCGTGCCGACTTGGAGTTCAACCCTTTCAGATCATCACCGAAAATTGCAAGAGGTGTATGCAGGACCCTCACAGAAGACTCCACCATAATTTCCACGACCTCAAAGATAAATCATCTCTACTCCGTTACTGGTATTGTCGAAAGCTCAATGAGGATAGATATTTTTGGGGGCCGTCCAGGTTGGGTGTGGGAGTGGGCATTCCGGTTTTCAGGAGCATCAGCGCCGAAATGGAAATAAGTATGCGCGAAGCATGGCAGGAAGAGTCCAGAAGATTTGTCAAATTGGCGAGTTGCGGTGCGAGCGCTGTTTTTCTTGATGGTCAAGAACCGTGTTCTGTTGGTGAGTTGGACAGCGATAAGGGTAGAGCACTTCTAGAAAGGGCGATGGAGATGATTCTTGAAGAGACGAAAAAGCCGAAGGAATTGCCCAGTAACTAATTATCTTTTCCCATCGCAGATATCTATTCTCTGTTCCTTCCCTTCCCGCGTGATAATCCTGCCTTTTCTTGATGCTCACGACCAACGGCCCCGTTAAGGCCGACCAGGAGAGAGCCAAGTTCTTGGCTCTGCGCGCCAGTACGAAACCCATCTTGCGGAATTGTCACAGCTGAGAGCCACGCTTCCTGCAGCCGCGCTGTTGCCCAACAAATCCCAATGTGGAATGTAGCAACGACACCTTTTGCCGTGTCTTTGGCCATCCTTGTTTGGTCCATCTCCACCAGAGAGCTCATGGTGTCGTCACGGCCCCTGGGCAAGTTGCCCTCTGTGCCGGTCCATGGCGTTCCAACCCCTAGTCAAGGAGTGCTTAGACGCATGCAAGCTAGAGTGCATGAACCAGGTCGTATGCACTGCTGGTAATGCCGAGATACTGGATGGCCTCGTAACTGTGAGCCAACCGCATTGACCAGTTGAAGACGTGCCATTCCACCCACCCTACTCTGGCCAGGGCCGTTTTAATGTGGAGGAAGCTCATACGCCTCATATATGTAAATCATCATATCAACTGTAGCCCAACCCCAAGGCAATGATGGTGTAACCTTACTATGCACAAAACACCCAATCACCATCTTACTCTAGGTACGTCGTCCCGTTTGTAAAGCGACTGGACAATGTGCTGTGGCCCTCTTTACCTGAGCGTTACTTGCTATGTACCAACATTCGCTGTTATGACTTAAACGTCTATATAAAGCACGTCTCTCGTTCTGGGCGAATTCGATGCTCATATGCCTTCTCATCACTCTAAGCCCCAATTCCACTCTCTCTACCATTCAAGGTTGCCGGATGCCGACATGCATGACGAGGTTACCATCAAGGAGGTTACCGAGGCTGGTGTCGTGTTTGCCGTGACGACGGTCTTTCTGGCGCTCTACCTGTACTGGATGATCAGAGTCAAGCCACGAGAAGCTTCGCGTAGGCGAACTTGGGCGTTAATTTCTACGGCCTCTCTCTTCTTGGGAACCGGACTAATATTTGCCTCTTTGTTCGGCAGTGCGAGAAATGCACTCTTACCAGGCGTCCTTGCCTACCCCTTCTTCACGGCCTGGAAAGGAGTCACCATGTTATGCGTCGACATCATCGAGGTACTCCTATTCCAGCCCGTCTAGTTATCTCCCCGATATACTCACTGTTTACAGCTTATTCAAGTTGTCGATCCCCTGATTTACGCCTATTTTTCTCGCGCCGTCGAGCCTGACCCATCCATTAAGGCGAGAATCATCATTTTTGGGCTAGCATTAGTCTTTCACCTTCCCTTTATTGGGGCGACCGTCTGGCATATCAGGCTATCTGGCGTCGAATACTGGTGGGCTGCTCCAATGGTGTCTCATTTGACTACCGTTATTATGGTTATGGCGATATGGAGGAAGACACAGTGTTTCCGTCGTATTGACCGGCGCTCTAACCAGCCTCAGCCGAAGCAGCCGACGTCAAACCAAGGGATGCCGTGGCTTGGAGCAGTAAGCGGACTGGTGTTCCTAGCATCATCTGGGCTCCTAGTATGTTCTATGACTGGTTGGGTGAGACACCAGTTTGGAGGTCAGTGTGGACTTTGTCTGGCGATTTTAGTTATGCCAGCAGTACCTCTTGACAGTATGATAAGAGAGCACCAGAGGAAACGGGTAGACAGAGAGATGCAACTGTCTGTGGTGACAGACCCCGGCACTGAACGGTCGACGGAGCATCTGGTATTATCCTGAGGGCATTAACTCAGACAGACGGTAATTACATCACTGTCCGCGCTCCGCCTACGGCTACTACTTTCAATTTAAGCGTCCCAAGTTTGGGCCACACGCAGATGCCGCATTTAGGTCGTGCAAACGCCTCAAGTAACCCTTTCAAGTTGGAAGCGCGACGCAAAGGTGCATTCCAAAGCATTATTTTGCAATGAAATTGGGAGACGGCGCTGCCCTTCTGGCTGTTTTCTGTGGCACAGTTGCTGCTGGTCCTGCTGCGTACGCCGTATGCCAGGTGGCTTGTTCGACGACACTCACTGCGGGACCCGCTGGTGTCGCAGCATACGCTGCTTGCCAGGCAGCTTGTGCACCCCTGTTGGCGATGACATGTCCGTAGCCATACTACCATGCAGCTAGCCAGTAAGGCTTATTGAACTTGGCGGTGTATGTCTATGTATTCTGCTAAGTTTCTGTTAAGTTTCTTCTATGTTTCGTAGCAGCAACATTGCTCGTGCTCCGCCGAGCAGTCCATCCGACAACTAAGCACTCCGGTATCCAAATCGACCACGTCTGCTAGCCCCCTACATATCCAGCAGCAGCAGCAGCAGACACTCGAAATCCAAACGGCCCCCGGGCTAGATGTAGTACATGGTGTCCTGCAGCGTCTCGTGGACCTGGCGGCTCGCGGCGGGCGCGGTCTTGCCGGTGGTGGAGACGCTGTCGGTGTCGCTCGCCTCGAAGATCTCGGGCCGGTGGGCGCGGGCGCGCTCGCACACAATGTCGGCGTAGTAGGCGGGCGGGCAGATGCTGACGGCCTTTGTGGCGCGGCCGTACAGGTAGCACAGCTCGTGGGTGAGGCGCTCGAGCTCGTTGGCGGCCGTGGCCTTGTACTTTTGGCGAAAGATCTCGTCGAGGATGACGGTGTAGTGGGCCGGGCGGGCGGTGCCCTTGAGGGCGTGGTGGGCCGTCAGGAAGAAGTCCCAGTAGCGGGCCTGGGTGACGCCGCGGTCGACGACGGTGCCGTTGCGGATGTTGCCCGAGTCGGACATGACGTCGCTGCTGGTCGGGAAGAAGCGCGTCTGGTGGCGCTTGACCGAGACGACAATGGTCAGGCGCGGCGGCGACGCCTTGGCCGGATACTTGGCGCGGCAGGCCTGGCGGATCGACGGCAGCTCCAGCTCGAGCACCTGCGAGAACTGGCCCTCGGACACGCCGTCGCGGAAGATGACGATGTTGTCGGGCAGGGCGCCCTGGTTGTGCTTCTGCCACAGCTCGAGGCGCGACTTGAAGGCGTCGACGAGGTGCGCGCTCAGCATCTCCTGCTTGGACGGCTGCTCCCACGAGCAGGCCGGCCACTGGGCCAGGTCCTTGTCGATGCTGGCCACGAGCCCGACCAGGCTGGGCGCCTCGCACGCGTCGCGGGCCGTCGTCATGTTCGTCGGGTGCGTCACGTCGTAGCCGGCCACCATGGTCTTGCCCTCCTTGAGCAAGCCCACGTCCTCGCGTAGCCGGTGGTTGACGCCGCCGGCCTTGAGGTTGACCTTGAGGCCGACGTTGGCGTAGAAAATGAAGTTGTTGGGCTTGAGCAGGTGCTTGGACGTGACGACGCTCGTGTGGATGCCAAAGGTGCAGTCGCCGAGGCTCTTGATCTTCGAGTACAGGCCCTGGCTGTCCTTTTCCGTGAGGACAAAGAAGACGTACTGGATCCGGCTGTTCTTGGCCCACGTGAAGAAGTTTTCGAGCCCGTCGCCCATGGCCCGCTCCCAGCTCGTAAACATCTTGCCGTCGCCCGGCACTTGGGGCGAGTCCTTGATGCGGATGCCCATGTTGCTGCCCAGGAACTTGGCAAAGTCCTTCATGGCCGACACCTCGATGATGGGGCTGTCGCTGCGCTTCATGACGTTGAGAAAGGTCCAGCGCTCAATCATGGCCCCGGCTTTGACCACGCGCACGTTGCGCATGTTCCAGCTGCCGTTGAAGGGCGACACGTCGGACCGCTTCTGCTGATTGTTGAGGTAGCTGATCATGGGCACGTTGAGCACCCGGCCGCGGACCGTGAGGAGGCTCTTGTCGACCGAGATGCCAAAGGGCCTGAGGCCGTTGTCATCGAGCCCGAGCGTCTTGCGGCCGTCGGCGCTGATGGACGTCGCGTTGGAGTAGGGCGAGCGGCATGCCACGTCCAGCATGGCCGTTGTCTCGTTCATGGTGAGGCGCGCCTTGACCGACTGGCCCGGCTGGATCTCGATGACCTCGGCAGGGAACAGCGTCGGCTTGTCGGAGCGGCCGAGGTTGACCAGCGGGTAGTCCTTGAGCGTTTTCTTGTACTCTGCAGCCACGGGTCAGTCCTAGTCCAAGAAGAAGAAATGGCATCCAAAACTCACTCATCTTAAAGTAGTCAAAGACGGAAATGTACTGGCCGCCGCCTTTGCCGTCGTTGAGGAAGAACTGCACCTGCTTGGGCCCCGGATACTCGTAGTTGGGCGCAAACTTGAGCGGCTTGCCGTCGGCGGGCTTCTGGCGGGACAGCTCCGACTGGCTCACGATGGCGTGGATGGACTTTGTGCGGCGCACCGCCTCGCCCGTCGACAGCGTGATTTCGGCCCAGACGCGCGTCTTGGGCATGAACTTGGCAAAGGCCTTGATCTTTCGCATGGCCTGGTTGTCAAAGGCCTGCGTCGGGCGGATCTGGAAGCGGTCAAAGAGGTCGGCGAGGCGGCCGGCGGCGCGGAAGACGCCGTGGCTGACGTTTGCGTTGAGCAGCAGGCGGCCGGTGCCGAGGCGGGCCGACTGGAAGAAGCCGCGGGCGGCGATGAGCTGGTGCCAGTCCTGGAACAGGTCGGTGGCGGCCTCGTCCCTGCCAAAGGGGAAGAAGCGGGCGCTGCCGACGGCCGAGATGTCATGCAGCTTGGAGCGCGGGCCGTGGCCGAGGACGACGTTAAGGGCGTCGACGACGTCCGGGTACTTGGGGAAGAGGCCGTCGACGGGGCCCTCGCTCATGGAGCCGACGTACTTGAGCAGGGCGTCGAGGGGCGCCTCGGTCGGGCCGTGGATGGTGGCCTCGATGACGTCCCAATTGTCGCCGCTGGTCTCGACGGCGAGCCGGAACCGCAGCGGGTTCTCGGCCAGCTTGAGCTTCTGGAGCGAGACGAGCTGGCTCTTGTACTCGGTGGCAAGCACCAGCGTCTTGTCGGCGGCCTTGAGGGTGGCGAGCAGCTCGCGCACGGCAAAGTAGAGCTTGCGGCCCTTGACCTCGCGGCTCGCGGCCTTGGCCGACTGGGACGGCTCGCCCGACGACGTCTCGGAGCCGACCTGGACAAACTCAAACGTGTACTTGTACAGCACCATGGGCTTGAAGTTGACGTTGAAGTAGTTGGACCACAGTGTCACGGGCTGGCCGTTTGTGCCAAAGGCCGGCCGCAGCGGAAACACGTCGGTGGACCGGGCCTGGAGGGGGGCCGCCTGGATGTTGGCCTTTGCCATCTGCGCAGCGAGGCCGGCGGCCGACGACGCCTGCGTCTTGATGAGGCGGTCCTCGAGGGCCGTGACGGCAGGGTCGGGCGGCGGGAAGGATCCATTGACGCTGCGGGCCTTGTCAGCGGGCCGGGTGTCGAGCATGGAAGACGGGGGCAGGATACATACTTGTAGGCCAGTTCAGTCGTCGTGTCGCGCGGCCGGCCCCCGCGACCGCCGCGGAAGCCGCCTCCGCGATAGCCTCCGCGGTCACCGTCGCCTCGGCCGCGATAGCCTCCGCGGTCACCGTCGCCTCGGCCCCGATAGCCTCCGCGGCCGCCCCGGTCAGAGTAGCCGCCCCGGTCTCCGCCCCGGCCGCGTCCGCCTCTCCCGCCGCGGTCTGCCATTGCAACTGCCAAGTCTATCTCCAGGGACGTGTCAAAAAGAAAAGTAAAAATAGCGCGGACCGAGCAAGGTATATCGCGACAGGCCAGGGTCTTGGCCGGGGCACGGCAGCGGGGGGCTTACACGTTATTTATATACGAATACACCTAGGTACACGCCAAGGCGGTGAGCAAGCAGGGCAGTCGCCGTTTGCGCGTGGCGGCAGAGGCCGTGACGAGGGCTGTGAAGAGGAACGTGTGCGAGGCAAGCGCAGGCGCAGGGCTCGGGCGATTGCTGGCTGTGAGGAAGAGCACGGGCTCGCACGAAGTGAATGGCGCGATGAGATGGGCCAGTGTTGGGTCACGGGCGACGGGCGGGCGGGGAGAGAGAGACTTGCAGGAGCCGAGGCCCGTCCCGTTGTCCTTTTATCCTTTTTAGCCAGGTCCTATTCCCGCAGACTGTGCACCTCGATGCGCCCGCTGTTCACGACACACTAGAGAACAGGGCCGGAGAGGATGCTGGCTGGCCTGGCATCGTCGACGAGGTTGCAAAAATCAGGACGTAGAGAGGGCGGCGAGGTGGTAGGTGGGACCGGGTCAAGAGCGGGCCGAGCGAGCCTCGCGCGCTATGTACATGGCCGGCACATGTACGTATAAGGGGTAGTTAAAAATGGGGGTGACTAAATAGTAGACCAGTCTGGCTAGACAAAAAAATGGGGTAGTGTGGCTGGTTAAGGCACGCAGCGCCGATACCGCACAATTTGGTAAGCGCGTTCCCCTCCTTGACGCGCGAGACTCTATGACCTACCTAAATTTTCCATCGCCTACCACTTCTTCAAATTGAAGCTATTCATACCGCGATTTCTACTTGCAATGGAGTCTTTGTTGAACAACACATTCCCTTCCTTCCAAGAGGCTCAGGCCGCTTGTGACGCTGTGGCACGAACATATGGGTATGCCCTCTGTGTAGCAGGAAAGAAGCCTAACGCAGCCAATCCTTCGTACGTTCACCTTCGCTGCTCAAAAGGACGAAAATACGTCAACCGCGGCAATGAGGCTCTCGCCAAACGTCGCAAGTCAAGCACCCAGATGACTAGATGCCCCTTTCGCCTAGTCTTAAAGCTAGACCGACTCCAAGCCTCATGGTCAGTCTCCTGCTCGAGCAGCCTCCACAACCACCCTTTCATCGAGCCAATGGCTCATGCCGAATACAAAAAGGAGGTTATCTCCAAATACTTCCTTGAGATCATTCAGCTATACAATAATGGCCAACGGCCTGTTTTTATTATAGAGCAACTACGAGCACGTACTCACGAAGACCCCGAGCTTGCTGGCATTACCACAAGGCAGATACATAACGCCATTGCGCGGCATCGCCGTGATGAGCTCGCTGGGCGTACACCGCTTCAATTCCTCTACGATATGCTTGATAATTCCGACTTCTTCGTTCGGGACACTCGCGATCCAGAAGGCCGCCTCTCTGCTCTCTTTTTGGCCCCTAAAAGCGGCGTTGAGCTGTTGCGTCAGTTCCCAGCTGTTTGGCAGCTAGACTGCACGTATAAGACCAACCACTTTAATATGCCTCTTCTGAATATATGTGGTGTAACCCACACAAAGAAAACCTTCTCGATAGCTTCAGTCTTCTTGACCGGCGAGGCTGAGGCTAATTATCGTTGGGCTATAGCAGCCTTACTTACGCTGGCTCCTAAAGAGGGAATTCCAATGCCCCGATTTATTATCACAGACCGCGATTTGGCCCTCATCAACGCTCTTGCGAGCTTCAAAGAGCTAGAAGATACGACTCAATTGCTCTGCCGCTGGCATGTCAATAAGAATGTTCTTGCTAAATGCAAGGCCTATTTTCCTAAGGCCACAAGGAACGCCCAGGGCCAGATCGAACGTGCCCCAAGCTTCACGTCGTTCCTTCAAGACTGGGGGAAATTAATTAGCTCAGAGGATATGAATAGCTTCAACCAGCGCCTCCAGCAGTACAAGGTAGCTCACCCAGCCGCTGCTGTGCGCTCGCCGCTATACGCTACAAACATGGCTCGAGCCTTGGAAGGAAAAGCTCGTCACTTGCTTCGTCAACCAGCATCGCCACTTTGGTCATACAACTACCTCAGTCGTTGAGGGTCTACATTCCTCGATGAAGCGGTTCCTTTGGTCTTCAACAGGGGATCTCACAACCGTCGTCAAGAAATTCGCTGCCTTCTGGGCTCATCAGGCCTCTGAAATTGAGGCTATTCGACGTCACGATATGCACAAAATCAGCTCCTTTACACTCAAAGACCTGTATCTCACGGTGCGCGAGAGGGTGTCATCGCGGGCCCTTACCCTTGTTGCTGAACAACACAACACAATTCGATCAAATATACGCACAAAGAAGCTAGTGAAGCCGTCAGGCTGCTGCCCTTGTAGCTTCAACATCAGCATGGGCCTGCCGTGCCGCCACCTTCTCTTCAAGGGGCTTGAAGAGCCAGTCAAAGAGAGGGCTTCGTTGCGGCTTGATGACTTCGATGTCTTTTGGCACGTACAACAAGCACCCATCTCCACAGGCTTCAAAGCGCCATTTGAGCCGTTTGTTGTGCGTGGCAAAGGCAGACCCAAGGGCGCCCTTAACCTCGAGAACACACGCAGTACGAGACGAGACCCCTCCGCATACGAGATCGTGGAAGGCATCGAACGCAGCGAGGCCACGAAGGCGCCGCCGCCGCCGCCACCGTCAACGGCGCCGCCAGCCTTGTCAACCGCTAAGAGGAATGCGACTACAGTGACGAGAGAGGGGCTGCGATACCTTCAACAGCGGGGCGATGCGTACGAGCCAGGCACACGCATGCCACGAGCATATCAACAAGCTATACGCCGTACGCCAGTCTCTGACGATGAGCTTGCTGACGAGCCCGACCAGCCCGACCAGCCCGACGAGCCTACGAGGTCACAGCACACACAAGGCACAATCATTGTCGCGATGCCTTCACAGGCGCCCTCGCAGGAGCCTTCGCAGGATGATCAGTGGGATAAGGTGGAAGCGGCCGTCCAAGACGAGGAAGAGGCACAGCAAGATTTGTATGCAGACGAACTCTCTTAAGGACAGGCAGGCTACTGGGCGGGTAGCCGGGCGGGCAGGCGTCAATTCGTTCAAATAACGCATCTTTGACCCTCAAGCCCGAATATGTGTAAATAACGTAAGCAGCCTCTGCCTGCCTCGGCGCCCGTGGGTGCGAATAGCTTCACTTTGCAAGGTGCGTGCAGAGGGCTCAAAGGGGGGCGCGTGGTAGGCGCGGGGGACGCGCTTACCAAATTGTGCGGTATCGGCGCTGCGCCTTGACCAGCCACACTACCCCAATTTTTTCGTCTACGCAATAGCCAGACTGGTCTTCCCTACGCAGGGGCCAAGGGAGCCCAATTCCTGCCCATGGGCGCCGGCAACTATGACCTGCCAGTGAAGGTCTGTGGGAAAGACCACATGCTTACCTTCCAAGACGCCCTCTGTGCTCCTGACGCAGGCGTCAACCTGGTGTCCGTCACAGTCCTTGGCAAGCAGGGGTGCTGGATCCTTGGCAATGGCGAGCACGCTGCCATTGTTAAAGGCGGCCAGATCGTGCTGACGGCCACTGTGGCTAATGGTGTCTACGTGATTGACGAGCCAAACAGAGACATCAACGCCGCACTGGCTAGCCTGCGTACTCAGGATCCTGACCTGACCCTCTGGAACGAAGCTACTGATGAAATCAGGCGTCATAGCGACCCAGCTGCCCTCGTCACCTCGCAGGTCCAAAATCCCAACCTACGCATCTGGCACGAGAGACTGGCCCACCTCAGCGAGCGCAACATCAAGAGGCTGCAAGGGATGTCCACTGGTCTGCGACCCCAATCGCCACAAGACCCGTGCGAGGCCTGCGCTATTGGCAAGATCAAGAAGGATCTCATGGGCACTCTATTCGAAAGGAACCTGGCCGCTAGAAAGTCTGCATATTGACATCTGTGGGCCGTTTCCGGACACTGGATACGACGGCAGCAGATACTGGGTGGCCATCCTAGACGACTACACTCAGTACGGATGGACCTTTAGCGTGGCCACCAAAGACAGCCTCTTCCCGATCTTCCAGGCGTTCCTTCAGAAGCATGAGACGCCTACCAGGCGATGCCTCTACGTGCGGATGGACCTAGGAGGTGAAAATCGCTCCACGCTGCTAGATGCCTTCTGCACCGACAAGGCGATCGAAGTCATCTACGCCGCCACGGAACAGCACCAGCAAAACGGGGCCATTGAGGTCTTCCATAGGGTCCTAAGCGAGAAGCTCAACCCTACGCTAATTCGGTCCGGCCTCGAGCGCAAATGGTGGCCCTACGTACTCCAGAGCATCACCTACGTCCGCAATTTGTCTCCTACAGCCAAGTTACCTATCACACCGTACGAAGCCTGGCACGGCGAAAAACCTGATGTTACCCATCTTCGAGTCATCGGATCAAAAGGCTGGGCACTACTGCCAGCAGCCAAACGCAGGAAGCTGCAGCCTAAGGGTATCCCGTGCAGAATGCTGGGGTACCAAGGGCACTGTAACTACATCCTGCTTGATAGCAGCAACAGGGTCTTCGTGTCTCCCAACGTCATCTTTGTCGAACACGTCGCCAAGCCTACGGTCTCTGAAAGACAGCCCAAGAGGCCCAAGACTGGCCAAAGCCTTGACCAGCTGATCCGGGAGGAAGGCCAGCAAGCCGAATGTCCGCCTCGGACACTTCGCAACGGCAACAATAGAACAGCCGACACCGCGTCTCTCTACACACCAGAAACTTCCACAGCGCTCTTCCACCAGACAAAGAGTTCCCCTCTGCGCTATGGCTATAATTTCGATCACGCCTTCGCAATGGCTATGGCCATCTCACAGCAATGGGAAGACCACGAGCCCTTGCCTTCAAACAGGCCATGCAGTCAGATAGCGCCAAGAACTGGCACGCCGCTATGGCGGACGAAATCCAGTCCCTGCAGGTCAACAAGACCTGGGAGCTCACTGACCTCCCGCCAGGCAGGAAGGCCCTACGAGGGAAGTGGGTTTATAGGCTGAAAAGAGGGACCGACGGCCAAATCGTCCGCCATAAGGCCAGATTCGTTGCAAAGGGCTACGAGCAACAGGAAGGCATCGACTATAGCGAAACCTTCGCCTCAGTGGTCAGGCCAGAAAGCTACAGAACAATTTTCGCCATAGCCGCCGCTGAAGACCTAGAGATCGAGCAAATGGATGTCAAGACCGCTTTCCTCTACGGGGACATCGACGAAGAAGTCTACCTCGAGCAGCCAGAGGGCTTCGAAGACGGCACTGGCCGCGTCTGCAGGCTCAAGAAGGCCATCTATGGGCTCAAGCAGGCGCCTCGCATCTGGTTCCACACCATCACCAAGTTTCTTGAGACACTAGGCTACAGGCCCATTGCGGCAGACGTCAGCGTCTTCGTCCGTGGCAAGAGCATCATCGCAATCTACGTCGACGACCTACTTCTCACTGGAGCCTGTCCTCGGAGGTCCAACGGATCAAGGATGCCCTCAGCAAACGCTTCCAGATGACTGACCTAGGTCCCTGCTCCCATTACCTAGGCATTAAAGTCACTAGAGGCAGGGCCAGGCGTCGGATCGAACTGTCCCAGCGAGCCTACATTGAAAAGATCCTGGGACCTACAACATGTCAGACTGCAACCCAACGGACACCCCTATGGCCGCAGATCCGCTCCAACCACCCGCAGAGGACTGGCACGCCCCTCCCAAGGACCAGGCCGCCTATGCCAGAGGGTAGGCTCACTGATGTATGCGATGCTCGGCACTAGGAGCGATATCTGCTTCTCCGTTGGCGCCTGCTGCAGACACCTTGCCAACCCAACGCCCCAGCACCAGACAGCTGTGAAACGCATCATGAGATATCTTAAGGGCACCATTGACTATGTGCTAGTCTTAGAGGGACCACTGCAGCCGATCCAAGGCTACACTGACGCAGACTTCGCGGCGGACCTGCACACCCGACGATCGACGTCAGGCTTCTTCTACAGCCTCGGCTCCGCAGCCATCAGCTGGACCTCCAAGAGGCAGCCCTGTGTCACGCTCTCATCCACAGAGGCCGAATACGTGGCTCTGACCCAGTCAGCCCAGGAGGCCATCTGGCTGCGTTCCCTAATGAAGGACCTAAGCCACCCACAGGCTGGGCCAACAGCCATACACGAGGACAACAAGGGCGCTATAGATCTGGCCAACAACCCTCAGCACCACTCTCGCACTAAGCATATCTCTCTTAAGTGGCACTTCGTCCGAGAGAAGGTTGCAGAAGGGACCGTCAGCCTTATCAAGATCGAAGGCACCAAGCAGCCTGCTGATGGGCTCACCAAGGCCCTGCCACGAGATGCCTTCCTCCGTTTCCGGGACTCTCTAGGCGTCAAGTCCGATTAGAAGCACCACACTGCTCAGCCTCTAATCGAGTGGGAGTGTCACAGGCTTCTTCGGCCCTCCTTAGGCACTCAAGCCTCTACACACTGACGGAGCTCTGAGGCCACTCCGCGAGATCAATCTGGCCCTCCCTTGACGAAGACCCTTCTGCAAGAAGGCAGCCACACTGACGGAGCTCTGAGGCCACTCCGCGAGATCAATCTGGCCCTCCCTTGGCGAAGACCCTTCTGCAAGAAGGCAACCACACTGACGGAGCTCTGAGGCCACTCCGCGAGATCAATCTGGCCCTCCCTTGGCGAAGACCCTTCTGCAAGAAGGCAGCCACACTGACGGAGCTCTGATGGCCACTCCGCGAGATCAATCTGGTCATCCCTCCGCAGTCCACGCGTTGCAAGCAACGAACCCGTAGGCGCGCTATTTCCCTGTGTTTTTTACCCACGAAGGTGATTTTGGGTTTTAGCGAGGGCCTAGACGGGACTATCGTTGCCGCTGCACGGCACCTTGACTGTCCGACAGAGCCGCCCTTCAAGCGAGTTTGAGGTGGGTCATCCGGACCCCCGAAAGGCGCTCCCAGGGGGTTCTGTCAGCCGCTTGGAAGTGGCATATTAAGGAGGTCACCCCAATTAAGGGTCATTACTATTTCACGTTACCTAAAGGTACTATATCTCGCCCCTTATCACGAGTTGCAGTCAGTTGGATACCTAAGAAGTGGCGCACTCTTTCCCAATATTTTTCACCCATAAAGAGGTGTTTTTTGGGTTTTAGCGAGGGCCCTAGGATACAGCACACTGCTGCACAGCACCTTCGCCTGTCTGTCAGAGCCGTCCTCAGAGCGAGTGGGAGTGTTGAAGTGGGTCATCAGAACCCCTGAACCCCTGAAAGGCTCTCTGAGGAGCCCCTGACACTGGCTTGGAAGTGATATATTAAGGTGGCATTTCTCTGTACTTACTCAAAGATTCCTTTAACCTTTAATGAACACTCAATCCGCTACACAGCCTTCAACAGGGTCTCCCCCTAGGAAAGTGAATTGCAGGTATACGATATTTACCCTTCGGGCTGGATATTCAGCCGTTGAGCCCCTTGCCTTGGCAACTTAACGGGTGTTCGAAGTATTTTACAACACCTATGTACCATGTGGCCATTGTCTCCAGAGACCCAACCGCAATAAATACCAAAATGCATATACCTATCGTAGCGGTTCAATATAACGTGCGGTTCAGTCCAAGCAGTTCCGAAATCAACAAGCTTCCCATCTCTATAGTTATCTTCCTTTATATCACGGACAAATATCCCCATCGAGTGTAAAGATCGCAGATCTCGTAGGTTGCGCGGCAAGCTTTTGACACTGACCCCGGAACCTGCACTTGCAAGATCTTCAACAATGGCATAGATCGGACGGTTTGGTGTTTTTAGGGCGTTGTCCTGTTCAACACTGAAATCAAGGTTCCACTCATCCTCCAGTTTTCGGATGTCTTTTTCCTCCAAGCGGATATAGCCGTGGCATGGAACTGCAACTTGATGCGGCAGTAATCGCCTGTCTTGCGCCTGCTTGATTCGACCGTATGCGCGGCATTCTGAGTAAAAGGGCATAACATGCCATTCCAACTCTTCTTCAGTGCAGCGGATACCCGCAGTGTAAAATTGGTGGTAGTCATACGAAATATCGTACGGCATAAACTAAGGCATAATTAACCTCTCGAGCTGCCACAGCTCCTCACCACTACTTACCACCTTCAAAGCGTAGTGCTTAGACTCGATCTCAACCTTGAAATCATGTGCCATGATCTCAGAGTGGCCCGAATATGGTTCTGAGTAGTCATCGAGCATATCTTTCCAGGTGATCGATGCGTTGGTGAGTGCAGAGGGATGCAACTTCGGACCATGGCAAGGCGGAAGTCCGTCTTGAACGTCCATGTCCTCGTCGAATAGACCATCAGCACATCTAGAGGTGCCTGTAGTCTTCCAGGAGCCCTAATTCGAGAATATTTGCTCCGCGTCCGATTTGGCTTTCTTCCGTCGGTTTGTTGTCGCCGTCCTGGTCGTGCCATGTTGTCATATTTTGCTCAAAAAATAGAGCACATAGTAGAGTGAAATTTGGAAATAATGGAGGCGGGAAATGAAGCCTGTGATCGATGGCGAGTGGATGAGAACAGAGCTGGCGAGGTAAAGCTTCCTGACTTGAGAGAACCACGGTTGTATTGCAGTGCGCGCGTCACGGTCGTCAGGGGCTGGCTGGATGATTGGAGGTAACCAACAACTCCAACCATTACGCCCAGTTCTTGTCCCAGATGCATCGCATGTCTCATTGAGGTACTACTTGTTACTCCCGTTGTGCCGATATGGGCATCGCGGTTCCCGTCGCACCCATCCTTCCCTGTCAATTTCGCCTTCCCCAGCCTCTTTGCACGTCTCTTTTCATTCAGCCGTGCAGGATACAGTATATCTGGCTGATGCTACAGACCAGAGCAACAAGGCAATATGAGGTGCATCAAGTGGCCAGAATCCGGCCTCATCGTCTTGCACCTCTCCCACGCCCCCTCCATTGCAAACTTTCCCCCTACACCCCCTTCTCCCGGCGTTAAATATCCCAGCCAACGACACCACGGAGCGGGTAGCTACGCCGACTCTAGCCGAGTCGAGACCGCCCTCAGACCGCCCTCTGGTCATACCGGCTTCCCAGGCACGACCCTGGGGCCGACCTCCCTTCCTACGAATCCTCTCCGAGATGCGACCGACCATGCCTTGCAGATTGGAGACGCAATGTGACCATCACGTCGTGCAACCACCTGTTCACCAACTTGACCCGCTCCTTGAAGCTGTTAATCCCGACGTGAGCATCCCGCCCCTTGCCACGCAGGCAGCCTCCCTGCAAGCCTCGCCACTTTCCGTTACTTCAATATGTATTGCCCTGCTTCGGACTAAGCTGAGGGAGTAGAGATCAGGGGGTGAACCTGCCTCAGGTCCACCCCCTGACCCTCACTACGGGGATCCTGTGGGCTAGTCTGACCTAAGACCACCTAATCACTTTGGAAGTCTGTCCCTACTCTTGCTTGGTAGTTGGCTTGCTGATGACATTAGAGAGGGGATGAGTCGGATGACCGGCGCATAGATGCAGAATCTGACGGTGTTCCAGCCAAGGATGAGCATTATCTGATGGAAGGGTGGCCAAGAGTAAGGCCAATTGCTAGGCATTCTCTCTTAGGGGCGGCTTGCAGGCATCAGCCAAGCACTAGTAGATCACAGTTCCGACAGAGGAGGAAGGCGCATGAGTAAACCGGGCAGATACATGCCACTAGACGGCTAGAGTCGCATTGCTGTGACTCACGAGATGATTTGCTGGAGCTCACATCAGGGGCTACAATGAAGCTCGACAGGGAATCGGGAAGTCTGTTCTACTCTTATATGACGGTGTTGGTGAAATGTTGTGTCAATACACATCGGAATAAGGGGGTCACCACAGCTAGATTCAAGATGCATGTTCTATCTCTAAAGGGGCAGTCTGAAGGGCTATTTATACAGGAGGCCTTAGGGAGTTCTGGAGACCTCCTGAGTATGGGGCTCTACCGTGCATAGTTGGCTGTGCCCACGCATAAAGGGGTAGCTTTCCTTACTCAGGAAGTCCTGATGCGTTACTGCTACAGAGGCCAGGAATCCCTTTTCCAGGTCCTCCCTAACGGGGCTGCCCTGGTCCACAGACAGAAGGATATCAAAAGGCTTTAGTGAATCGGTAAGGGCATGGCCAACAGTGCCAATCTTCAATATATATTTAAAACAACCAATGGAATCGGCGATACGCCCTGCAGGCCCTCGTCAACGCGTGTCAGCAGGTGCTCCTAGGGAATCATAATGCGGTACCACTGCGTTTGGATAAGTCGGCACAGAATAATGCAAGTGCATTACCGTACGGCCGCCAGTAGACGTAGGCTGTGTTGTTACCATGGCTTGGCCGGGACTGTCGTGCATCGACGGGGACGGTTGCCCGCCATAGACGCAGCCTTGTCGCGTGGTGCTCGCGCGACTCAATGGGGTTGTCGGTGGATACGGAGAATGAACAGCCGATGCCATGACTGCAGTAGCCACGCCCATGTGATGTTGATAGCCGTACGAGGACGTTACGAGCTGCGACGGCTCCCAGACGGACGAACTTGTCGTCGACCCTCGGTGGTGGAGGGTTCCGAATCGACTGTCCCGACAAATATAGGGAGAAGTCTTCATCTAGACTGGCCAGTTGTCGCGGCATCAGGAGCCGTTGTAGCGACTGGACAGCGGCACTAGGGTCGTCGGCGTGAAAGGGTTGGCCTTGGTTGGAATCAAGTGGCAAGGTGCCCGACTGCAAGAAACGGGTTATTTGGTCGTCGCTAATGCCATGCCTGTTGAGGAGCTCCTGGAGCTGCTTGTTCTCCTCGGCTACTCTTCTCGCGGCCATCTGGACCTCGGTCGAGGCCTCGATGCCCTGAGTCTCGTATTCTCTGAGTCGCCGTTTGAGGTCCTGGACATACTCTCTCCGTCGGGCGCGTGATCTCCTCTGGTTGTCTCGAATTCGGGCTAATTTGTTCTCGCGCTAGAGCAGAGAAAGAGAAAGGGACTCTGCTGTTAGTTAAGGCCTTTCCAGTCTACGGTATCACCTGGGTTGATGTCACTTACCGCGAGGGTTGACATTTGGCTTGCAAGCTTGTTTGGGGCCGCTCTCCTTGACTAATGAACGAGGAAAGGATTGTAAAAATAAGCGTCTCCAAGTAGAATATCTGTGAGCGTGTAAGAGAACGAGAAATGCGAAATTAACAAGTTATAGAGAGTTGGGGGGAAGAGCTGGAAGAATTGCTCCAGCGGCTCCAATCACTCGAGACGCATGCAAACCATGGCGCAGCCCTTGCAGCCTTCACGGATATTTGGACAGGTGACGGTTGGATATGCATTTCGGCGTCTCAAATAACTACACGTCCTCATGCGCACGTCCTCATGCGCCTCGCTGACTGTCCACCCCAGCCGATCGAGGACAATGGAGAGTGTGACATTGTCTGGCGCGGAATGCTTAGTGGTTCAGGATTCCTCGCGAATTCCGCAAAACGAGGTCATAGAGAGGCGACCTCCAACTTTAATGTCAATGATCTATTTTGTAGTGTTCTCTACTGCGACGGCGTACAGCAATGTAGCTACGGCGCAAGGTAGCAATAGCCAGTGTTAGAAGACGAGTTTATATTATTACATGCTCGTTCTCGCTGTGGCATCTTCGTCCATTTCTCTCAAGCTTTCACTCGCATATCTCTTCAGTTTTACAAGGTTCATTTCCTTCGCTATATTCTCAACGGCTTTAAAAAGCTGTCGCTACTTGGGTTAGTTCCCAATCAAGGTTGCTTCTGGGAGAACTTACAAATGCGTTCTCCGTCCCCGCGATCAAAACAGCCGCCCTCATAGAGGATATACCGACGAGAAATCTCCATGTTCTCGGCCACAGGGTATGGAGGGTCTCCTCCGAGTGTGTCTGAGGATCCAAGCTGTCCTTGGAATTGTGCAATCGTCTGGAGATCTCGAGGTGATAGTGTTGATGAGCACGCTTGCGCAAATACGCGTGCTCTCTCGAATTCTCTTCAATCTCTTTGAAAAGTTGCCGCATGATACCAAAGACAATTGTTTGGAAGGCGACGGTAGGGACCTCCGTATGCGTGCTGGGTAAGCGACTGGATGTCTGACGGAGGCCCTCGGATTGAGATTTCATGGCCTCTTCGATTTGTGCCATCTGGGGCTTGTGCTGAGTCGCATTGTTCAACTCGTCCGCGGCGTTGCCTGATTCCCCTATACCATTCACGTCAGTAAATGTTCGCTGCCGCCATGACATATCACGAAACCGTTCTTACTATCGTCCTGGCGCTCGGGCTTTGGAGCGGCTGTCGTGGCTTCGGCGTGTAGGTTGGGTTTTGCTGAGCCGAGAGCCTTTCGCACTTGCGTAGGAGTCGAAAAGAGGACGCCGAGGTTGTGACATTGTCTCGTTTAGATTCGCTACCACGAGCTCTCGCATGTGCTCTTAGTAGCGCGTGTAAGCCGTAAGTGCCGCAAGATACTCACGACCTAGAAGTCGAGCGTTGAGTCAAGGAATGAATGGAAGACGTAGTTGGTAGCAGAGCTGGGAAACACGACGTGAAAGCCGGACAGGTAATCATACAAACCAGCAGTCTATGGTGGCATCTAGCAAGCGGAGCGTGTAAATATCGCGATGTCTCGTTTTCCCACCCTAAGGGGTGTCCCTGACGGCTCTCTAGAGCCGCTCCTTTGGACTTCCGGCTAATTTTCATATATTGCGAAGTATTGCTACCTCGTTAGATGCAAATGTAGGTCTCGCGAAGGTCGCCGTCTTCTTCCCGAAGTTGATGCCGAAGTGGGCAGCCCTCCCCTTGTCGCGAGGCTCCCTCCGCTGCAAGCTTCGCCATCCCCGACACTTCCCAGGCATGCACATGTACATTGTCATACATTGGGTCAACGACGAGGAAGAGAAATTAACGGACAAGTCCTGCCTCGCGTTCCTCCTGAACCCCGTCGCAGGGAGGCTGCGGACTAGTCTGCACGATTCGGTTCGCCCCTGTGCCTACAGAGAATTTGGCTACTCGTAATTTTGCAGCATTAGCGGATGTGATCGGCGCATAGATGCAGAAGCTGAACCTGGTCAAAGACGCATAAACCATCTCAGGGGTGGCCGGCAGGCGTCAGCGAAGCAACAACGGACCACAGCCCGGAAGTGGAGGAAGGCGCATGATCCCACCCGACGATATGTGCAATGAGATGGCCAAAGCTGCGCCTTGGGGATTCTCGGGATGATTCGCTGGAGCTCTCGTCCCGGCCAAGGCAGCCCGTCTCATACTCGTTTAGATAGTGAAGGAGGTAGGCACCACCCCCTTTTGTCCCAGTTTCCATATCTCCCATTTTCTTGCAACTCTCCGAAAGCCAACGAAGCCCTCCTTCCCGCCATGTCGACTAACACTACCTCGACTATACAGGGGAACATGAGTTCCACTGAATCGATTGCCTGTGGACAAACTGGTCATCTTCGTGCTCTCGATATGCTTCTTTGTCCTACCTCGCCCACATCAGAATTCTCGGATACCGAAAGCCAATTCAACAGCACAAACTGCCGTGACAAATATCCACAAGACGAGATTGAAGTGTCACCTACACAAAATATACAGCCCTCGTTTGCACCTAGCGATCTTGAAGAGAGTGATTACTCTTCATTTTGGGGCGATGACAAGGAGAATCGTCCTCCTACTGGGCTCGTTTTTCGAGTCACTGTATCCGATACTTGCCATCGAGTAGAGGCCAGCGGTACAGTCGAGAACGGACAAGGCAAACAGGTTGAGATGGAACTTGACCTCCTCTCTGCAAGCCTGTTAGAATTACTATCAGCCTTTCTCAGTCTTCTCCTTCGGACTCATCACGACACACCAGGAAATGCGAGCGGAGAGACCATGGCGGGATATACGGGGGTGTGAGTACAGAATGTCGAGCGCCTGAAAGAATATGGCAAAGCCATGGGCAAGGGCATAAGCGACAGCGGATTCACAAAATCCGGAGGAGCAAGCAACCAGCCGTGGAGGAGTGTTGAATTGTTATATCTTCACCAGCCCTTATAATGGTAGTAGTCCTTAGATATCCCCTCTAAGAAACGCTGGTTCCACAAGCTGGCATTTGCATCCTCGCTCGCCTTCATGCGAGACTTGTCGGGGAATTGCCCTCGGGTCACCGAATCATGCGAGGCGTATCGATGATCCAAAACGGCGTCGGGTGTGAGTGCCCCCTGCTGCCTTTCCAACACGAGTCCAAGTCTAAGTGAGTCGGTCAACTCGGTCATGAGCATACTGCGGCGAGTCGTTCGTGGCGATAGAACTGCCCGGGTTTTCCGGGGTCGCATGTGACTTGAGCATGCAGAAAATTGAATCGAGGCTCCTCGCTAGATCCCTGTCTGAGGTTGACTGTTGCTTTCTTGCACCCTCCACCATAAGCGTGATGAGTGATTGCCATTGCCTTTCCCTAGGTGTCGTACGGTGGAACAGCCGCCACTTCATGCTCGGCTCGCCGCTTTCACTGCCATCAGAACTGTAGTCGTTCACGGCGAGCTCGTCGCCCCCCCGAATTTGGAATTTGATTGATACTTCACTTGCGGAGGTAAGCTAAGCATATCTGGACGTCTGGACACTGTCTACAGCGTGCATATTAGGGCGAGACGAGCCGGTTATCCTTAGCGAGCCCTTCTGCGAGTCCGATGAAGTCTTTAAGGATATGTCTTTCAAACGACTGGTGGATGTTTGCGTGAACTATCGTGGGTATTTCGTTCGAGGAGAGTGTAACTGAAGTAAAGATCGAACTAAAGATCATGATTGACGTGGAAAGCAGGGCTTCATTTATGCTTCGGAAGGCACACTTGCGTCGCGCTTCCAACTTGGATTACTTGGAGCTTTTGCACGACCTGAATGCAGTATGTGCGTGTGGCCCAAACTTGGGACGCTTAAATCTAAGGAAGTGGCCGTAGATGGAGGGCATAAAGTGATGTAATTATCGTCTGTCTGATTCAGTGCCCTTGTAAGGTGCACACACGCAACGAAACAGAGAGTGAGGAGCGGGGGCCAGTGGTTCAATTGATTGATCTCTGAAGAACTCATAAAATACCCGGGAATAGACTCTCTTCTTTATATGATAGCATTCCCCGTTTCCTGCTCGGAGGTGTGATTTCTTCTAGCGCGTAACAGCCCTCAGGATAGTACAAGGTGCTCCGTCGACCGTTCAGCACCGGGGGGCTGTCACCACAGACAGCTGCACCTCTCTGTCTACCCGTTTCCTCTGGTGCTCTCTCATCATACTGTCTAGAGGTACTGCTGGCACAACTAAAATCGCCAGACAAAGTCCACACTGACCTCCAAACTGGTGTCTCACCCAACCAGTCACAGAACATATCAGGAGCACAGATGATGCTAGGAACACTAATCCGCTCACTGCTCCAAGCCACGGCATCCCCTGGTTTGACGTCGGCTGCTCTGGCTGAAGCTGGTTAGAGTGCCGGTCAAAACGACGGAAAGACTGTGTCTTCCTCCATATCGCCATAACCATAATAACGGTAACCAAGTGAGACACCATTGGAGCAGCCCACCAATATTCGACGCCGGATAGCCTGGACTGCCAGACAGTCGCCCCAATAAAGGGAAGGTGAAAGACTAAGGCTAGTCCAAAATGATGATTCTCGCCTTGGAGGTCAGGCTCAACGGCGCTGCAAAAATAGGCGTAAATCAAGGGATCGACAACTTGAATAAGCTGTAAACCATGAGTATATCGGTGAGGTAGTTAGATGGGCTTGAATGGGAAGTACCTCAATGATGTCGACGCATAACATGGTGACCCCTTTCCAGGCTGTGAAGAAGGGGTAGGCAAGGACGTTTGTTAGGTGTCCATTTCTCGCACTGCCGAACAAAGCGGCGAATACCAGTCCGATACCCAAGAGACAGGCCGTGGAGATCAACGCCCAAGTTCGCCTACGCGAAGCTTCTCGTGGCTTGACTCTGATCATCCAGTACAGGTACGGCGCCAGGAAGATCGTGGTCACGGCAAACACTACACCGGCCTCGGTGACCTCCCTGATGGCAATCTCGTCTTGCATGTCGACATGTGGCAACCTTGGACGGTGGAGAGCGGATTTCGGAATTAAAGAATATGAGAATATGAGCACTGGGTTTGCCCGGAACAAGGCGTACCTTATATAATGTTAAGTCATAACAGCGAATGTTGGTACTTGAAGAGTAACGTTTAGTGAAGAGAGCCACAGGACGTTGTCTAGTCGCTTTGCAAACGGGCAGACATACCTAGAGTGAGATGGTGATGGGTGCTTTATGCATAGTAAGGTTACACCATCATTGCCTTGAGACTGGGCTATAGTTGACATGATGATTTACATATATGAGGCGGGTGAGCTTCCTCCACATAGAAGCGGCCTGGACAGATTAGGGTGGGCGGAACGGCACGTCTTCAACGGGTCAATGCGGTTGGCCTCCTGTTATGAGGCCATCCAGTAGATCTACATCACCAGCAGTGCATACAACCTGGTTCATGCAATATGGCTTGCATGCGTCTAAGCTCGCATTGACAAGGGACTTCGGAACGCCATGGGCCTGCGCAGAGGGCAACTGCTGTCAAAATGAACGTGGTCGTGACGACACCAGGAGCTCTCTGGTGGAGATGAACCAAACAAAGAAGGTCAAAGACACGAGCAAAAGGCGTCGTTGCTCCATTCCACATTGGGGTTTGTGAGACAACAGCGTGGCTGCAGGAAGCGTGACTCTCAGCTCTCCCTGGTCGTCCTGATCTCGACCTCGTCGGGGCCGTCGGTCGTGAGCATCAAGAAAAGGCAGGATTTTCAGGCGGGAAGTGAAGGAACAGGAGAGAGATCTCTGAGATGGGAAAAGAGAATTAGGTACCTGGCGACTCCTCCGGCTTGTTCGTCTCCTCAAGAATCATCTCCATCGCCCTTGCTAAAAGTGCTCTACCCTCATCACTGTCTAACTTATCAACAGAACACGATCCTTGACCCTCCATAAAAAGCGCTCTCGCACTGGAACTCGCTAGTTTGACGATTCTTTTGGTCTCTTCCTGCCATGTTTCGCGCATGCTTGTTTCCATCTCGGCGGTGATGCTCGGGATGTTCACTCCCCGGAAAGGCCCCCAGATATTTTCATCCCCACTGAGCTTTCGACAGTACCAGTAACGGAATAAAGGTGATTCATCTTCGAGGTCGTGGAAATTGTGGCTGAGTCTTTTGTGAGGGTCCTGCATACACATCTTGCAAGTTTCGGTGATGATCTGAAAGGGTTGGAATCCAAGTCGGCATGGTTGGTCATGGCTGCATTCCTTCAGATCAGCATCGTTGACGTGACCGCATCTAATCGAGCCTTGGGTGATAATATGTGATGCCATCGTTTTATTGCAGGTAGTTTGACAGCGCTTGTT